CGCGGGAAGGAGATCGCAGCTTAAAAAAAAAAGCTTTATTTTTCAAAACTCCAGATACCTGGATTTCACGTTGTGTAGCTATTCATCCTACTACCCTTCACTATGAACATGTTGAAGAAGAGCGAGAAGCTGTACGAACGGCATTTTCCAGCTTTTGTATGATCCCTGATGATCCCCGGCGCTTTTCTTCAAAGTCATTTCTCCTTCTCCGAAGTTAACGAAAAACCCCTCCAAAGTTGTGCAGATTATCTAACCCGACAGTGCTAAGCATGTTGCTGATAAGAACAAATGATGTTTTAAAGTCATGAAATATTCGATGACCCAAAGGTCAGAATTTGAGGTTTACCGAAAAACTCGATTTTTCAAAAACTCATTTGTCCTCATCAGCAACATGCTTAGCACTGTTGTGTTAGATGTTCAGTACAACTTTGAAAGGTTTTCGTTAACTTCGGAGAAAGAAAAATGACCTTAAAGAAAAGCGCCGGGGATTATCAGGGATCATACAAAAGCTGGAAAATGCGGTTCGTACAGCTTCTCGCTCCTGTTCAACATGTTTATAGTGAAGGGTGATAGGAATACTTACGGATAGGTACACAACGTGAAATCCAGGTATCTGGAGTTTCGAAATATAAAGCTTTCTTTCAAGCTGCGATCCCCTCCGCAGCGGAGAGGTTAATGAATGCGGCCCTTATAGGCGCGCAAGTCCCCATCCCCTTTCCCCTCTCTCCTCCCTCCACCCCTAATCAAAAATTCATCTGCATATAGATATACTAGGCCGTTTCAAAAGTGCTGTCCGATTTCCAGTTGCCTTGTTCTAACGCAGCTATTTTCTTATGGCATTGTCAAATATATTGTTTGAAGTTTTCCTGCTCTTTCAAGTGCTCAATGAAGCTTACCGAATCAACTTTCCAGTGATGAAATTTCAAGCCCTGAAGCAAGGTTGCCAAAATGCAGTCATGCCCAAAAAATATTTTCATGAAGAGAACTTCCGCAGTATTCGTAAAACTAATATATAATATTTTATAATCGATGAAGATGTAATGGACCAACATAAGCACACTTTTTCTTCGACGTAGAGAATGTCTAACTTTTTCAATTTTTTCCAAAGATAGAAGACAAAATTAGTTAATTAAACGTGACAACATTCTACGCTAGCGAATGGTGGTGCACTAAGTACAGGGCCCGGCCAGAGGTGAGCAGACGGGGTTTTCCAAAATCCCTTTTGGAAAGAGAATTCCCTTTTGACCCCAATAGCTTTTACGAATTTTCCCTTGAGCCCAAAAATGACGCTTTGTGCGCTGGAACGAGAGCACCGGCCACACTTCGCCTAAAAGCGCTCAAAAGCGCCCAAAATGCTCAAATTCCTCTAGTTACTCCTCACCTATATCAAGATAGAAAACAGGAAGAAGAATAAGCAAGGAAAGTGATGAAGTAATGAAAAAATATCAAGCGAGCGCAGTCAGACTGAGAGACGCCGTTCCCGCGCGTATCGATTGACTGGGGCGCGCTTTCCATTTTAGAAAACTAGGCTGCTGATGCGATTTTGGCCTCTAACAAAGACAAGAGGAGGAGTTTTGGAACCAAAATCTCACCATATAGTAAACTTTGGGTGCACAACAGATTTATGTAAAATTGAAAAAATTATGTGAATAGAAAGTTTTGCCCACCTCAGGTGGGCATTAGGTGGGCAATTGCCCACCTAGTTTGGAAAAAAGTTAAGCACGCTCTTCATTCACATAAGCTTTTCATATTCATACATTGTTCCTTAGTCCTACTGCACGTATACACACTTTCTCTGCGCTGCAAACGAGCCATTTTCCATTTTCTTGATAGTGGGAAATTTTCAGAAAAAAGCTTGCCACAACCTTCATTTACATAAATTTTCCATTGAAACTTCTAAGATAAGCCCTGCAGGCCCGTATTCATGTATCTTACCAAGTTTCATACCGTATGGTCATCTGTGCGCTGCAAACGAGCCATTTGAATTCACATCTTTATTTACCAGTTTTGCGAAATTTTTGGAAAAAATGCTTATTACACCTCTTATTCACATTAGTTTTTCATAACGTTTCATGCTTTGTTTATACTAGCCTCTCTTTGCTTGCTTACGTAACTTGGTGCTATATCATTACGCCTGCATTGAGAACTGATCATGTAATCATGCTGTTCAACGGCATCGCTCATGCGACGTCGCGCACGCGGCAATTAGCGGCAACGCGGCGTAGTGCGCGCGAAGTCTGCTGTGCGTTGAGGTTTATGAAAACTATCTTCCGATGAGTAAGATGTATAAGGTAAGCATGATTCGACCTTCTTTTGCTTGCACTTGGAATCTTCTTCCGGGGCTCCGCTCCGGATCCCGCAAAAACGGTATCCCCTTTGCTTTTTGGCCCCAAAACGATTTCCAGCTTGTCATTTGCCCACTCGTGCCGGGCCTTGACTCAGTAATGCATATGATAACGTAAAGCAAGAGCAAGCAGAAGCCATGGCCAATTGGCCTTCTCCGTTTGCGACAGCAAGAAGAATAAAAGAATAGAAAGTCCGTTTATTTTCACCTGAGGAGGGCTCGAATGATATATTATTTTATTTGCTCTAATTTTATTGCAGCGACAATAACTCGAATTCTCTTTGGCCGCAAAAGAACTTCTGAAGTACAGGCTATTTAATGGTGGTAGCCAAATATGTCTGCTCATAATAAAGTCACTTGCACATTTTTATAACCCACGTAAGTAAATTTCAGAATATCGCAACCCATTCCCGGGGAAAATGGGGGCCTCGGTCCGCTACTGGTGCACACTCTTTGGTCGTTGATAATTCGCTTGCTTCGATGTCTTTCGCCAATCTTCATGTACCATTCTGTAAAGCTGGTTTCAACTTAGATTCACAGTATGAAACTATTCTCCCATTTTTCTCCATTACTGTAAATTTACGGTAGAAACTTTGAAGGGGGTTTCTCGCCATAACACTCGCATTTCGCCTCGAAAAAGAAACCAAACAAGCTAAAACTTTCATACTGAGTCAAATTAGAGTCGCTGATTACAGATATGCAATTTGCACATGCTTGCACATTTGTCATGCTTCCTTGAGATCAGTTATTTTGAAAAAAAACAGTAACAACTGCTTTTCACTGTTCTTCAAAGATCTGATTATAGCTCTGAAAAGGCTCAGAATTTTTGTAAAAAGTTCCATAATAAAATCACATGCTTAAAAACCCTGCTATACAAAAAATTACCAGAGTTTTCCGGAATTTTTTTTACCGAACGACCTAAGTCACATGTGAGCTCTGTGAGCTAAAAGTTCATACCGTAACCTTACAGTAGCAAAAAAGATAGTTTCGCTTCATTCTAAATCTAAGTTGCACCTCGCTCTAAAGATTGGTACCTAAAGATCGACAAGAGACATTGAAGCAAGCGAGTTATTAACGATCAAACAGCGTGAACATTTTTTGGGACACACCGTATATGTATTGGAGGAGTACAACGCCCAATGTACAGATGAGCACAGAGGGGAGGACCGAGGGAGGCCCTCTCCCTCCCCCCCCCCATAATGGGTCACAAAATTTTTGAAATTCACTTAGGTTATAAAAAGGTGCAAGTGACTCGGTCTGCGTGGCTCACGCCACGCTCATTTTAAAAAATTTTGCCTCCCTTCGGACGATTATACTGAGGCCGCCACTGATGAGCACCGCTTTTGAGAAAGTCGCCTCCAACATATTCCGCTAATAAGCAGTAGCATCCCATCAGCCCTATCCCACTGCCTTTAATCCCTTTCTATTCTCACAATCAGTAACTAATTGGGAGCTGGAGATAAACTGACTTGGGTGTTTCTTCGTTTTCTTTTTATGTTCCTATGCTTGCGTTAATCATGCCGGATATGACAGCCTTGTGCGTAATAATTGGATAGATAATTTGGTAGGCATCCTGCGCTATTCAACAGCAACAAAATTTGTCATTTTTGCTTAGTGGTAAATTTATGTATTTGCATGTCGCGTTGTAACTTCATATCAAACGGTAACATTTGAACTGGAAAAAGTGATACATTCGCTAAATCTCTGGATACTTCTCTCCAGCTATAAATCGTGTAAGTGCAAATATACAGTAGGAGTTTGATTGCTGGGAGCATATAGCGTCCACAACAGCAAAAGAGAACACCTAAGCAAGATTTGACCTCATTCTATTGACTGTGAGACCTGAGACCCACCTACTACCCTCTGCACTACGGCTGACATCGACAATGCACTCTAGTTGTTGGTGAGGCAACATCGTGAGACAACACATTCAAAACCCTGCGGAAGTATCGGCATTTTAAAGTGCTGCGGAGCCGCTGGCATTTTTCGGAAGTTCCGCAGCGCTTTGTAGAAGGTCGCAAGGTCGGTCCCGTTTTCAACCAGTTTGACGTGAAAATCCTGCGAAAGTTCTCATTTTTAACGTCTCCAATCATGACTTATAATAAGCGGCTTAATCTGAAGTTGTGTGGAGTTTGTCCGTTACGAAATTACAGTGAAGAATGATTTACGATACTAAACATCATGTGAGGTTAAGATAGCGAGTATGGTTCATTTTTAACTGCGGGTCACGTTGCAATAAACCGAACAATGTTTGAGAGACAAGCTCTCAGAAAGTGAGTTTACCACGGCTCTCGATGCCAGTGCGAACCTCTGCGAAGCAGAGGTGAGGCACTGGTTTTGCAACAATGAACAAAGTCCTGTGGAACCGCTGCAAGTTTTGCTTGTCCTGCGGAGGTTCCGGTGAACTGTCTGAAATTTAAGTCGCACATTCGTTGAATGTCTCATTTTAGAGGAACTTACAAGCAGTTGTGCTCTATATCAGAGACTAGGGTACAGCTAAATACGAAGTAAACAATTTAGCTGTTATGGTGCGTAATCTTTATGTGTCGTTTTCTTCCAATATATTTCCTTCCCTTAAAGTCGGACAAATTTTCGCGTTGATGATTCTTTGGAATTCAGAGAACAAGACACTAATAGATTTATTGAGATGTACAGTTTAGACGAGTGTGATAGCATACTCAAGTTTGGTCGTAAAATATGTGCCACGATTTCCAAACACTAATGAGTACTCTCCACCGGGCAAGTTGGGCAGAACACCTTCTTCGGCAAGTTTTGCAGTGACCAATCGTAAGCGCGGGTAAACGAGATGACGCTCATCCTAAAATTAACTTATTTTCCAATTCTCAAAAGAGTTTTTCCCAACGTGACCTACCTTATCTTTATAAACGAAAAATTCGATTTCTCCACTCGTGGTGAAATCCCATAATAGACTTTTCCCATCTGGTACAATGATTGGGATGGTGAAGAACTCTCCGGGTGAGATGTCCTAATAATATCGGTGTATGAAGAATATTAGACGTAATATTCTGTTGCAACGAAAGTTTTGTCGCACCATTTTCAAAAATTCATGACTCCTCACTTTCCTCGATCAATTTACCTGTTTTTATTTTTATTTTTGAAAGAGGAAATCTTGCTTTTTATTGAACTAATTTTTATTTAAATACTTTGTAATGAGCATACATTATATAGATAGTCGGAAGAAGAACATTACTCAAACTTTCATTTTTCTGAGTTTGGTCATCCAAACTGTGAAATTTGCAACAAAAATCGGAGAAATTCTAACTAAGCAGATCAGACTTTGTGCTGATTGAATGTCTCTAGGAAAAGTTATGGTTTAGCGATTGACACAAAGGACCAAATTTGATTTTGGCATTTTTTTTCAAAAATTATAGCTATTCATAGAATTTTATTGATATACAATCAGCACAAACTTTGCCTAGTTAGAAGGGGCAGGTAACAAAACCTTATTGACTCTTCCTATTTTTATTGCAGATTTCAGATTTTTACGGCTACATAGGAAATCAGAATTTAAGTGATTTTATTCCACCGCTTTTATGCAGTGTAGGCTCACCAGAAAGTTTTTAGATTATTCTTATAGACAGCATGATGTATTCTTTCGGAGATAAGCAAACAAATCCAGAGAATTAGAAGTCATGAATTTTTGGATTTGGTGCGACATAACTTTTGCGACCTAATACTCCAAAAAAAGTAAATGAACCTTCTTAGCAGGTTTGGGTCTCTGGACCCCTCGCAGCTCGTAATGTTGATAAGCTTGACAATGATCGGCTGAAGTAATTTTCCGTCTAATGCTCACCCCGGACTCATCCCCGGGCAAGTCTCTATTTACAAATTCGCTTAAAAACTTTGCTTCCTACAAAAAAATTACTAGGTAAAAATAGAACATCTACCTCCATACTCCTTGGGGACACAATGTTTGTTTATGCGTTTAGGCATCTTCTTATCGCCAACAATAACCATTTTTCGGAGATTTTCTTCAGACAAAAATAGTCGCGCAATTTTCCAAATTAGACTAACAAGTCGTGGTGGATTTACGAGGTAGGTCACCTGCACAACTTCGGGATACCTGAAAATCATACACATGAGCAAAGTCACTGATTACCGGATGAGTAATTCATTACCAATCCTGCCAGAGTTCTGAACGTAATTGCCATAGTTTCATAGAACCGCTCATGGGGTTTATATAGTCTGTGATGTTCACAGTGGCCAGATCAAAAATCACAATTTCGCGTCTGCAAAAGTGCTACGGTAGATTATGGCTTTCTATTTACGTTTAAAAATTCAAAACAATTATCTCAAATGCACAAAAAGCTTGGAGGTATGCATATGGCAAAGTCTACGCCTAAAAGTCTATCCAGGGCGAGACGGATAAATGGCAACCTTCATATTTGGAAAATGGATTTGCATCACAATAACACAGGATATTATTATAGGGTCCCACACGAGTAAGAGAACGTTGAAAACGAAAACGTGGGAAAGTTACACAATGAAAATGATGCAGCTCAAAATAGGATGTTCTCCATGTTTGCGCTCATCATCCACCATGAAACAAAAAAACGAACAATCTAAAGGAGATATGTTTGCTAAATAATTTCATAAGGACAAAGAGTTTGAATGATGTATGTGGTGATAGTAAAGGATTCAAAGAAGGGTGAAAACGGTGGAGCAAAACTGGAGATACTTTCAGATTTACAGCTTCATTTCTTAATTTCTCGACTTTCCCGAGTTTACCTTGTCTAAGTTAAATGTGAAAATAATATAAACTTACTCCAGAATGAGTTGCAGCAGTAATTCTGAGTATCCAAAGCAACATATCAAATAATCGCTGGTCTTGAAGGGTCTTGAAGAACTGAAAACAAGAGATCATGTATTTAATCTAGCACACTCGAGACTGTCATTGTAGCACCTATAATTGCTGAAGGGTAAAATTTTTTTTTACTTCTCATATATCTACCACTGGGGAAAGGATTTATGTGGAACTAGCTGGCTTACCCGGCTCCGCCGTATGTTCCGAATAGAAAATTCCATTTCTTAACCGATCCGGACCAAACTTGGCACACATACACTTCGGGCCCCGGCTTGTGTCACAGTCCACTTTTCGTTATCGATCGATGTCGATTTTATCGATTTTTTGCAAAATTTGAGCTAGGGGGCTGGAATTTGGCAGAGGGGTGTAATCGAGCATGCTGATCACCCCCACGGGGTCAGCATGCTTCTTTCATCGCTCATTTTCAGATGGAAAACAAAGATGAAAAAATGGGTGGATTACATGGGTTGGTAGAGCTCTTCAAGAGCTACAATCAGCACGTTTCGTTTTCTGGAAAACATGTATTCTAAAAGTTTTAAAAATCTTTTTCTAAAAAAAGTCCGAAAATGGTCGCGCCTCTGTCGCGGATAATAATTCTTCGAACGCGAAAAATTTTTTAGGTCTTTTTTGCAGCAAAAACGAAAGTTCTCCGGTCGAGTAAGCATACTATATTGTAAAACTCATCGAGATCAATAATCGTGTAGTGGTTACTTCCAAGAAAACCCAAGCTTGAACTTTATTTTCCTTCTTTTTTAAAAATTACTTCTTATTCCCTGCTTCAAGCCAAATTTCTTCACATGGAAACCCATTCAAGACATCCCAACAAAGCTATTCGGATAAAATTGATGCCCTTTGCCATATTCTATGCATCGGGCGTGAAAATTCTTTGCTGAAAATGAAATTGAAATTTCTTTGCTGAAAATGGCTTCTCTCAGTGCGTGCACATGACCCCACCTGCACCTCACTATTGAGTTGCACCGCATTGCAAGGTTGTAGCTCGGCCAGCGGTCATACTGCGAGCCTGCAAGTAGGCTCATTCGAAAAAGCGTGACTTCCTGGACACGACGATATGCAAAAGAGTTGGGTATGAGAAACAGAGGAGATTTGGCGGATCGCGTGAAAAAGCGCGGCGTTACAGGTGATTGGAAAGGAGGCTCTTGTCAACACCAGAACAGTCCTAAAGCTTCGAAATAGATCTATTACAAAAACATTGAAAGTTTCAAATTTCCAGAATGGAACTTGTAGCGAGAGAAGCTCTGTTAAACTTTAGCTGGAAATCCTTAGCCTACCACTAAAGCTGCGCTTTTTCACCCCATTCGCCAATTCTCCGCTGTTTCTCATACCCAACTCTTTTGCATATCATCGTGTCCAGGAAGTCACGCTCTTTCGAATGAGCCTGCTAGTAGGCTCGTAGATTGACTGCCGGCCGAGCTACAACCCTGCAATGCGGTGCAAGTTAGTGGTGAGGTGCAGGTGGGGTCATGTACACGCACTGTCAAGAGCCATTTTCAGCAAAGAAACTCAGCAGCACACGTCAGATGCATAGAAGATGGTCAAGAGGTCATTTTACCCGAATAGCTTTGTTCGGATGTCTTCAATGGGTTTCCATGTGAAGAAATTTGGCTTGAAGCAGAGAATAAGAAGTCATTTAAAAAAAGGAAAATAAAATTCAAGTTTGAGTTTTTTGGAAGTAACCACTAATCGATTATTGAGCTCGCTGGGTTCTACAGTATAGTATGCTTACCTCCGGGGAACTTTTGTTTTTGCTGCAAAAGAAGACTTAAAAGGAAATTTTTGCATTCGAAGAATTATTGACCGCGACATTGTGACGCGGCCATTTTTGGTCCTTTTTAGAAAAAGATTTTTACATTCTTTAGGATACATGTTCTCCAGAAAACGTAGCGTATAGGTTGTAGCTCTTGAAGAACTCTACCACCCCATGCAATCCAACCTTTTTTTTCGTCTTTGTTTTCTGTCTGAAAATGAGCAATGAAAGAAGGATGGCGACTTGTCCGCAACTTTTTGGCGGTCACTTATGTCTCCTGCCAAGCCAAGCTAAGCATGCTAGCTTTTCCTATTGAGCAACTATAGATCTCGTAAAGGCTGAGTTGAAAATAGCTCTAGAATAGAAGTGAAAAAATAATTGCATTTCGCTTGCCTTCGAAAAAGATTTTAATGTCTTTGAAAGCGGGTCCATTATGGTTACTTGCATACCACAGCATGCAGTAACTCACAGCGTATCCACAACCCCGCTCAAAGCATCCATTGTTGATTGCAATCGCCGTACAAAATTGAGAGATAATGAAATCTCTGGCAGGAAGTTTGTTCAGCTTTTACGAAGCAGTGAGACTGATACAATCACTAGAGACGTGTGGCATAGTGGTATGGGGCGCCGCTATGGCCAAATCGGATCAAAGTTCGATTGCGATTGTTGACCAAGTAAATTTTTTACATTCGGGGACGGTGAAATGGTGGCACAGTAAACTGGGATATGACCGAATGGTAATTGGCTAAGTCTAGCAAGTCACAGTAAGCATCCATAGTGGCCCTCTTTCACTGTGAAGTAAAGCTGTTTTGCAATGCGTGTGCGCAAGTTATTTACCCCAAATCTTTTAGATTGCACTTCTGGGCTGTTTCAGAAATTCTATAGTATTCTTCGAATTCGAAATCGATGAAGACTAGAGAATAACTGTCTCTAGAAAAAAGGCAACAAATTCGTGCTTTTGCTACTTACGGCTATCCCATTTAAGCGGAAAGACATAGCTCAAAAGCTTTGCGCTCTTTCCAGCAATTCGAAGACGATCTTCAGTTTTTTAAATATGTCTGCCAAGTTGCTTCAATCAGGGCTCGGCACAGGTGACTCATGAGGTAAACTGGATATCGTTCAGGGGTAAAAAGCAAGGGTGATATCGTTTACCCCCTCCCCCCACCCCCCGCCCACAATCACTTTCCCGCTCTCATGTCAGCCTTCATCTTCTATAGCGGACGCAAATTGTCATTTTTGCTTTATCATCCCATTCCTGCGAACACCAAAAATTCCTCTTACAACAGGTTGATCCGTAACACGCGCGAATTCAAAACTTGCCTCTAAATGAACAACCCGAAGTACGCTAAAATTTGTGTGTGAATGGGCAGTAAGGAGTTTAGACTACGTATGAGGAGTTATGAAAAAGTTATGTGAACTGAAGGCTTGGCAAAGCTATCGAAGTTAGTTGGCTTTCCAGGCACCTGAACAGCCACTTAAGGTGGCTGTGAAAGGAAAAGGTCATAAATATCCCTTCCTTTGCGTAATTTTTTCACATGTTCAACACACCTTTGTTCTACATCAAAACCCTGAACTGAGATTTTGAATCTCTTCAAGTTCCCTTCTCCTCGCTTAGTTACAGCCCTCCAAACACTTCGTATGACTGTTACAAGCCTACTCCAAGCACGCAATGTGCATGCAATGTGTATGCGGGACACAACAATTCGGAGAATATGAAGTTCTTTCTGTTGATTCTGTTTCGTCTGTTCAATGTTGTTTTTGAGCTTTGTTTTCTGTTATTCGTTCGACTCACTCATGATCGCGTCATAGATGGTGTCGCATTTTTGTGGCAAAGTCTATGGAGACTTTGTTTTTGAGCCTTGGCTCCAACCCACTTTTGCTCATGTATTAGGTCGGTCCGAAAGTTCGCGCTGTTTTTCAGACCCAGTCCCAAACCACTTAGAACAAAGTTAGACAAGAACTGTAAGCATTGTTCGATGCAGAATTTCTTCCTCTTTCTAACGGTTGTATTTATGTTCAGATTCCCTTGATGACCGCTCAATAATCGGCAGGGATCAACCTATGATTTTCACCCATCTTGAGCTTGGCTATTTTTTGAAATTTCCATTTTTAACTTTTTGGACTAGCTTTGACAACACTTGTATAGACTAAAGGAAATGCAATAGAATACAGTTTTTGCATCTCTAGCAGGCTTCTCAAAATTTTTGGAAATATTTCTGTGATCCTATCAAATTCCATATTTGGGCATCTCAATCCTCACACAACAATCAACGATTAGCAACTAAGGTGTCATTCAATGCGGCTTTCACTCTTCTTTTCAATAGACTTGTTTTCTTTCTGATTTGTATGATAGCTGAAGATGAAATTATTGTAGTTTTTGTTTCCAGACTCGTCCCACGCCGTAACCAGAAAGTTTGAAATTTCTGACCGCTAAACGCTCAGTTGCTCGCTAAAATAAGCGTTTAGTTAAGCTCTTCTTGAAAGCCTTGAATTCCGAAGATTTGTCAGTGTTTCAAGCGATTTTGTAATTCGCGACTTCGGAAGCCCTTACTAAACGATTTTTCCAGAAGCCCTCACTTCGACTTCGAAGTAAGGGCTTTTG